AGCGACTTGCACAGCGAGAGTTTTGAACCCCCGACCTCGAGGTTGGGAGTCCAAACCACAACCGATGCGCCAACCACTTCTACATGTACATATACATGTTAAAAGTCCCACATGTACACATTCATAGTCATTCGAGTGGAGTTGAATAGCTTGGTGGTTAAGATGCTTGCCTTCCAATCTTAGGGTCCTGGGTTCAATTCCTGTCAGTGTTGCAGGATTTTTTCTCACGACCAAAACAACTGCACTCCCTAAATTTCATATTGAGATTTAGTTTGTGTAAAGCATTGTGCGTGTATGTTTGTCTTGTGTAAGGGATTGCCATCTACAATTCGGACCGTGATATATTCGCTATTGACAATCCTTGGCATATGTATTGTGTGTCTAAATAAATAATAAACAAATAATAATAATAATAATAATAATAATAATAATAATAATAATAATAAACATATAACAATCTTTCGGTACACCATGTGTAAATAAAATAAAAGAATATGGTTTTTCAAAAAGTCCTTTTTGACAATACATTGGAGTACAGTACCCTCTTGGATGTGAAAATTTAACATACAGTAATAACGTTTTAATTCCCACATGTTTGAATGCAGTGTTGCGGCATTATCTCTGAATATATATTTCATTATTATTATTATCCTCTATTATGGGAAGACATTGTCCACTGATTATCTCAGATAAGAAAGTATAATACATACTCCAAGTATTGAAATACACGCCATCATGTTGGGATTCAATATTTCGACATTAATTATGTCATCATCAGAAATGTCATTCCTGATGATGACAATTAATGTCGAAATATTGAATCCCAACACGATGGCGTGTATTTCAATACATGGAGTATGTATTATACTTTCTAATATGGTTTTTATTAAGGCTCTGACCGTCATCAGGAGAATGATAAAAGATGACTTATGTTGGTCTTAAATAGAGTTGTCGATCGTCGGTGATCTATTGTTGTTTCCCATTGAAACAAAGAAGGTGTGAATAGTGCTTGATTGAAGCAGAGAGCTAGGAGTGTCCATAGATCATGATTAATTGTCTTCCCATAATAGAGGATAATAATAATAATGAAATATATATTCAGAGATAATGCCGCAACACTGCATTCAAACATGTGGGAATTAAAACGTTATTACTGTATGTTAAATTTTCACATCCAAGAGGGTACTGTACTCCAATGTATTATCAAAAAGGACTATTTGGGAGAGACACTCATGCAAATCATTACTGTACCTACAAAAAGAGGTCCTTCAGAAAAAATACTGACAATTTAAGGTAACTATAATATCCTCAATGATTGCGTCATTAACTATATTAATAATAACTATATTAACTATATTAATAATAACTATATTAACTATATTAATAATAACTATATTAACTACATGCCTCGCCAACTTTGCACACCCATTTAAAACCGTGTGGAGCACGGGTATATGCCAGTTAATAAAAAAAATGTTTAATATAAAATACCCGTTGAATAAAATTTTGTCCTTGGTTTGGAAACTGCAATTTTAAAAAATACAACAAACCATAATACAAATATAGGATATACAAACTAGAAAACAAATTAAAAACAATAAGTTTGATTTGCATATTCTAAAATAGAAAACTATATTTACCCCCACCCCTAGTAGGCCTAAATAGTGTCCTTCATCCTCCACATAGATAACCTCTTGCAGGACAAAGATTTCTTGATAGCCTCTAGATAACGTCTTGATGACTTTTATACTGTCCTCTAGAAGGCTGCATTATGTTTTTCCGCAACTCTGCGCAAGACTGCCGTATGACTGGCAAACAGCGGAATTCTTGAACTCACTCTTTGCCATCTCATGCTCCGAGCATCACCACCAGCCTGAAGGAAATTAACATAAAATAATAATACAACCATTAAGCAAAAGAGCTCTAATTAGCAATAATTTCTTCAGGACCTGTAAGCAAGAAAGTTTTTATGGTTTGGATGAACCTCATTTTGAGCAAACCTTTACCTGCAAAACCAAAAATCACCTCCCTTGCATAAACAAACTCATCCATGAACATCAACAAGGTCAATGCTAATACGACAAAAATGTAATTAATTAAGCAGTAGTAAAATAAGATTGTTGCAAAATCTGTTAACAAATCATTGAACTTCGTACCTCAAGTTTAAGTTGTCCAAAAGCACTGCCGGATTCATCATGGAAATTCATAGCGTACGTCTCAATCCAAGCATTATCTGTATTTCGAGGGTCATCAACATACCCTCGGTATATCTAATAAAATTTACACATAAATTATTACCAATAGGAAGGTTGTTCAGGGGCATATCAACGATTTTTTATTCAAAGGAGAAGTGGGGTGAGAAGGGGCAATCACCATCACCAATGCGAGAACTAGGTTTCCTTTATGCGGGTGTGATTGTAAACCAATATTATTAGAGGTATTAGAACAAAAATTTAGACTAACATTTCATCATGTTGGTAATATTTTAGCAGCAGAAGAGGGAGAGTTAAAGCTTGTTCATCCCCCTCTAACTTCACCCCTAGTAGTAATGAACTTTGAAAATGAATTTACATAGTCAATTGATTGACCCAGAACTAATGGCAAATAATTTTAACATAACAACACAGAAAGTCCGAAAAATCCAATCGGGGGAACATTGTTAATTTTCAACGGCTTATTGTGTCACATCGCCCAGTCGCTGCGTTGAAGTGTGTTGTGTGAAATGTGCCTGTTTTTGCTGACGAAAAAAATGTTCATTCAACAAACATGTGTCAACAAAAAAGCAAACTATTACATTGTAATATGATAACAATGATGATGATGATGATGATAATGATAATAATAATACCGCAATACTACTACTACTAATAACAATAATAACAATAATAATGATGATAATAATAATTATAATAATAAAAATAATAATATACTAAATGATAACAAATTACATTGTAATATAACAATGATGATGATGATGATAATACTGTAATACTACTACTACTACTAACAACAATAATAATAATAATAATAATAATAACAATAATAATAATGATGATGATGATGATAATAATAATAATAAAAATAATAATATACTAAATGATAACAACAAAATAGCAATTATAATATTGAATGCACATTATGATCAAATTAGTTCAGACTGTTAATGTGATTCTTAAGTTTAGTTGAGAATTGACTTAAGCTAAACGCACCCTTTTAGTATATCAACAGGTAGGTTATCCCACACCCGAGAAAAGCGAATAAAAGTAGAGTGAAAAAACTATTTGTTCTTGCCAGATTACGATTCAGAAACCTAACTGGAAGTCTAATGTCTAATGTTAAAATAAGATAGACACGCGTGCTCGAACGCAGTTAAATGAAACCAGACTTATTGGTAACAGAGCACAGTGATCAATGTAAAGTGCACTGTTCTTAAAATATATATTAAAAACTAACTCTAAAATTTCAGAAATACAAACAAGATAATCTAAAAATACATTCCTAACTAGCTCTTGCTCACCCCACCCCACCTTGAACATAGAATACAGAAACTAAATACAGTCACAATGACAACTTACACTGGGATATTTTAAAAATAAGCGATCAGAAATGTTCAAAACTATTTAAAAAGATATGAATGTTAATTCATTGATGATGTACATCAAAGTGTAATTTCGTACTGTCTTTGTTAATCATTCGGTAGACTCAATATATTAAAGTAGGTACAGTAGGCCTAATAACATAGAACCTCCTGGAAACAAGTTTTGTACTATGATCTTATCTGTGGTTTTATCACCGAAATCGAATAGAGTTATGTGTTGGTACTTTTATCTAATGCATCATGTTTCTATCTCGCATTATATTTTATTTATTTTTTATTCCCAATTTGATAAAAGTCACGATTAAAAACAATTTTTTTATACATGTAAATTCTCTGCCTTTAAATGTAACTTAAACAGAAAACCTCCTACCAGAAATTTCTGGACCAGTGTCCAGAAATTTGCCGACAAGGGGACCGACATATTTGACAGCAGGGTCCAAACTAAGGGGTTGCCTTCCTCCTTCAACACAGCAGTTGTTGTAAAATGTGACTCAATAAATCATTGAATGTTAACTTAATAATTAATATCTTTATATTTAACAATCTTTGATAGAATTTTACGGACTCCTTCCTCCTTCAACACAGCAATTGTTGTAAAATGTGACTCGATAAATCGTTGAATGTTAACTTAATAATTAATATCTTTAAAGTTAACAATCTTTGATAGAATTTTACGGACTTTTAGTATGTTGTGTATATTTCAGGAACAAATTCCGCAAATAATATTTCTCTTGCAATTAGTTTAGGTTCATCATATTTTTGTCATAGATTGACAGGTCTACAGCACAATATACACAATCACTTTACTTCGATGCCATTTGAAAATAGCCTGTCAATATTCTCAGCCATTTCTCCTTTCTCCTCGGAACATTTTGTCATCTGGTCGAGAGCCTCTTCAGGAAATCCACATCTGAAGGTTTCACTAATGACCTCACCTGGTTCAACCATACCCTAATGTATATAATAATGTACATGATAATATTCAGATAACAATATGAATAACAGACCCATGTTTGCCATCAGTCCTATAACATAAATAATTATCATAATAACAATGATTTTGATTGCATACAGTTTTAAAAGTGCTTCGAAAATAATTTTAATATTTCTTTAAATATTAATGTTTCTCCAGTTGGTGCTGAAGAGCTCCAAATCCTACCAGGTGCTGAGTCACTTTTTTTTTTTTAATTTGAAATAGTGAACATACAATTAAACTACCTGCCACCCTATAAAACCAAACTTTTTGTCTTTTAAAAAATTATCTAACAAAATGTTTGAAAATGTTAGAACTTTTATTCTCAAGTTATAGTAGTACTGTTGTTTGTTTAGTTTCCTGTACTTCAAGCTCTGCCTTAAGCACTGTCCACATCAAATTTTATATGCCCATATTTGGGTGTAATATGATATCACCATGCCCATATATGCTTTTAGACAACACTTTTTGAAAAACTGATTGAAGTAATAATATACAAATATTGACTGCTCATGAGGAGAATTGTGAAATCTAATGCACCAAGGTGAGTTGGAGACAGTAGCCCATCTTCCCTGGAAGAAGAAAAAAAAGGAAAAAAAAGCTACGGTCTCCATATCAATGAGAGCAATATATTTCAGTTTCCCGAAGCTAGAGCAGTCAATATTTGTTTTTATATACAAGATTCTACGAGGCCTAAAAAGTACTTACTTCCTAGCTTAGCCTAGAAAGAGGCCTACTACACTGGGCAATCAAAGCATGTGTCTAGCATAGCTCTTGCTCATTTCCTCAATTTCAACAGCACCCATCGTCTTGCAATATTTGTCGAATATTAGCAAGACATTTAATTTGTCTTTTAGTGCTTTTTTTTTTTGCTTTAGTGCTCGAACCGATCAGCCTCCATATTTTGTTAATTGTCTACTTGCTGATCCGTGGCGCGGTCAGCGAGAGGTCTAGAGTTTGCATCACGCGACAGGTCAAAAAAGTACTATTTACTTTTTCAGGGGAATAGTACTTTCAATTGCCCGCTTATAACCAATCAGATGCCTAGAATCTATGTATGAGGTATATGAAATGACACATACTGTACCTCAGGTATTGCCCACTGTTGATTGTCCTTGTGTTGAATAGCAATAAACTCTAGTACTTTTTTGCCTCCATCCATCATTGGCAAACCATTTGCCTTCATCTTCCATCTGAAATACCCCCCAAAAAAACCCCCAAAATCAGTATGCATTATTACACAATAAAATGATGATACGACCACAGAAAAAAACAGCGACAGTTAGTAATATTACCAAGATGTTACATTATAAATAACCTAGTTGGCATTTCATAGAAATGTCATTTCTAATATCTTAGTCTATCTTCGCAACGTTGAATAGTTTGTCTACAATACACAACCCTTACAGTTCATATCAATTTGTTAGGGCTGTTTAGACCATGTAACAAAACATATTTAATTTTTCAGTATGATAAAGTTGCATTGTATTGTATTGGGCAAATGTGGCGGCTCTAGGACATATTTCTTGGTGGTGGCTAAGCTGTCCGACAGGGGGACTTGAGCTCGCAGGCCCGAGCTGGGAGAAGGGTTTCAGAGGGGGTTTCCCTCTAAGATAAGATTTTTTTAAAGAATAGGAACCTTGGTATGACAGGAAATGGCACTCTCAGACTGTGACAGATAAAAGGGACGTCACATTTTGTTTTGGCTTGGTGTTGACCTATTTTTATATTTATCATGGTCTGACTGCCCAACGAGTACTGTCTGACAGGGGAGGGGGGCTTGACCTGTCCGGTGGGGGCTTAAGGCACCGTCACTTGCGCTACTCTGGATACAAATCTGTATGTGCCCCTGTTGTATATAGTAGGTTGGGGAAGCTACTAATAGTGACCAAATGAACTTACTAGGTTTGTAACGCCACACAACCCAACCCCTCCCTCGCCTGGAAACTTATTTCTTGTGTTCAAAAAGAGAAGGTTGATGTGGCGCTGCACCAAACTGAACTCCTAATATTAAGTATCTAGTTGATCTACAATGGTGATCACTGATTCTTTCCAAAAGATAAACTTTTGATTACCTGGTTGAAATAGGATACGCTGCATGATTTGGTCCAAATCGACCTAGAAGACCTCGACCAACCATACCAGTTCTCCCTCTTGGATTTCTAAAAATTAAATTTAACACTTTAATTTAAATTTAAATAATTTAATTTGTCATACAAATACATATACAGTATAATCATTTTTATTGGCTTTACAAAACAAATATGAATATTAGGAGGATGACATTAATCTTACAAAATAGAAAACAAATTCTTTTTAAATATCTAGGAAGAACCATTAGCAGTATCAACAGATGCAATATACAATAAGTTTTAGTGACATTATAGAAAAGAGAAGCCAAAAAGAGCATTTCTAATGGCTCATGAGGCCTCTATAATAGTGTCTGAAGTAACTTGATAGAAAATTGTTCATATATGTTTGTATGTAGATGTTTTGTAGATGTATTGTCTCCTGAAATGAAAAACAAAATCATAAAAATTAACTCATTTGAAGTAACATACAATTTATTAACATTTGAGCACATAAAATATTGAATTTTTTATAAACTGTTCTCTGATTTTTATACTGGATATAATGATGACAATAATGAAACACTTCCAGTAATGAAGTTTTTCCACCATTGTTTTGATGTAAAACTATGAGCAAGTAAATATACACATTTCTATGTCCTATGTTACTTCCAAACGAGAAAGTTAATTTCAAAAATGATTTTTATGATTTTTTTTTGTATTTTTCATGGGACAAGTAACTTGATAGAAAATGTATTGTCCTCTGAAATGAAAAACAAAATAAAAAATTAACTAATTTGAAGTAGCATAAAATTATTAACATTTCAGCACATGCATTATTGAATTTAAAATATTTGTTCTCTGATTTTTATATAATGAAAAAACACTTCCAATAATGAAAGTTTTTCCGCAATTGTTTTGATGTAAAACTATGAGTAAGCAAATACACTAATTTCTATGTCCTCATTCATAATTTTTATCTTGCTTCCACATGAGCAAGTTAATTTCAAAAATGATTTTTTTTTTTTGTATTTTTCATGGGACAATACATCACCTAGAAAACATGCTAGGAAAAATCAGTAAGTTAAAGCCTAGTAATATGACTATTATCTGTGCATGTGCCTTAGCTACTATGAGCTTTTTGCACATATAATGAGCTGCAAAATAAAATATTATATTAAATTAGCTCCCGCTAAAGAAATATAATATTGATAATAATACATTTCCTATATAGCGCAAACATATCTGGCGACATCTCAATGCACTTTAAACAATTTGGGGAAAAAAAAATTAACCAAAACAAAAAAAAGTATTTAAAGCACTTACTAATTTAACACAATATAAAGAGTCAAAAATTATACAATTGTCTGTTTTACAAAAACAATTTCACAGGTTAATTAGTTTATTATTTACTTTTAATTTCATTTTTAATTAATTAATTAATTAATGTATTCATTTATTTATTTTTTATCAGTAAAATACAAATCGATAAAACAAAAATATAAAAATTATGTGGAAATGAAAGATAAAATTACAACTTGATTATCTAGATTGACAATTCCCAATGTTGTTGAGATATAAATGAAATAAAGGTAGTCCTATGACTTACAATGGCAGTCCATCTTTAACCACATAGTGTTGGACATGACTTCTACGATCCACCTTGCAATTTACATCTTCGTTGTTAAATTGTAACATGGGTCGTTTATCCTTTGACATGGCCATCAAGTCAATATCTGCCCAGTGAGGCATATCAAGAATGGATTGGTGTGTGTACTCTCTTGGCACATAACTTGGAAAGTCAACCTTCGAGTATAAAAAGACACAAATATGAAGAAGAAAAATGAATTTCTCTCTCTCTCTCTCTCTCTCACTAAAGAAGTGCTTTTCCTTTAACATCTTTCTTTCTCACCTAACTCTCACATGTGGTTTATTGGAGAGCAGAGCAATGGACTTTTTAAACTTTACAACCGACCAATCAGAACAGAGCCGAATACACATGTGTCTAACAAGCAAACTTGTTGTCCCCTAAACGTTCTGTATGACCTTAGCAACAATATCCAAGGGGCGGGGCTATACTGGAAAGGTCGGTTAAACTTGAGTCTTCAGCACAAAAAACATACTTCATAGCCAACTGACACGTTTATTGCATAAAAAATTTTACATAAAATACAGCATAGCTTCAATTATGGTTGTTTATAAATTGTACTCCAATGACTATATGGATAGACAAATTTACCTTCCAGGGAACTTGGGCAACTGGGACATAAGCCCTTCGGATGGCAGTACCAGGATAAGGGCTCTGCCGCGCTTTCGTATGGATCATAATCTCAAATTCTTCTAAAGTTATTGGCACTTTGTACACATCTTTCTCATTAGCAGTGACATCATCCTCATCATCATCATCTATGAATGAGAGCATAATATTATCAGTTATCTTACTTAATCCCAACAGAATTATGAATATCATAAGTTAACATAAATTCTACAAAAGCCTGGTTTTAACATTTCTCTTTCTCTGACATCACACATAATGATCAATTTCATATTAGAGACATGGTCACATGTTAAATTATATTCCTTTATCTCTTCCACATTTCTTGGTAGGACTGGCTGAGGATGGTCAGTGGTAGTGTCAATGTGCCAAGTTTTTGGCGATCCTGTCACAAGACAAATATGCACATAAGAAGCTCTACTTAAGACTAAGTCTCATTTATGAGGCTTAGGGAGTGAAACTGTTGTGAAAAAAAAATCTTGTTACCATGACAGGGATTGAACCCATGACAGGGATTGAACCCAGGACCCTGTGACTGGAAAGCAAGCATCTTAACAACTAAAGTATTCCACTCCACTCCAGGTTGAATATAGTTGATCTTTGAACTTACCCTCTTTGTATTTAATCACTTCCTTCAGCTTCTGTGCTTCACTTTTACTCCCTACTTCATTTTCCATGAGGGTTTTGGTCATCACATCCAATGTCACATTGATACGTTTTATCTTAAGAGAAAAATAAAATGGTTTCAAAAAAAGTTAAAAAAGCATTGAAATAGTAAAAGATTCAATACAGGACAAAGAACTAACATTAGGTGAAAGAATGAAAATAAAGTAAAATAAGCAAAGAAGATAAAAAAAAAAAGGTAAATATTGGAAGTTAAATACCTGATCTTCAAGTCGGTTAATTTTCTCCCAATCCACTTTCAGGTTAATCTCATCCACTCTGTGAAAAAATATAATATACCTAGTTTTAACCATAAAATAATACAGATACTGATAGGCTTTCATAGTCATCAAAGATAACGTCTGTCTGAACAAATTGCAAGTACTATCTCAAAAAGAAGTCTATACTCTCTTGATTATTGATGTTACAAGTGAAGAGATAATCTTTAAAATTGTAATGCGGTAATGATTTATACAAATACTATGAATGTCACTCTAAAAATTGACAAGGTAATTTAAATAACAACAATAATAATACTAATAATAATAATAATAATAACAATAACAATAATAATAATAATAATAATAATGATAATGTTAATATCCGCTTAACGCAAAAGATATTCCGATTTAGAGAAATTGTAATAATAGTAATAATAAGTACACTTAGAGAGCATATCTCCGCCCACCGCAAAACCCTTTCTATAAAATAATTCCTCACAAATATGTTCCTACTTTCCAACCAAAACCATAATCTACGTTAAAAAAATTACACTAACACGAAAGTGTGAATTAGATGACTTTTTAAGATATATGATCTGCAACTTTTTGCTTTGAATGGTCCATATATCGGTAAGAGTTTCGTATTAAGAATGACAAATTGAAAATATCCTCTGTATCTTCTGGAACCAAGCCTTCCATCCTATAACATTCTACAATCGAGTAGGTGCATAGCTCGTGTTCCATTATTTGCATGCACACCTGGGCTGTATGTATATGTTGCCTTAGTTTGGCTTTGTGTTATTTAGTGGTGGAGTAAATGCATTTATATTGAATATGAGCAATGCAGCACCAGTAAAATATAATTAAAACAATGTGGGATTTCTTGATTAATAATACAAATCAAGTTTTAAATTATACAGTATATTATTGTATCATTCAAATCGTTTTCTACAGATGTTGTTGGGATCTATCCACTTTTTGCCCTTTCTTTTGAGGCTAATTGCTAAATGAAAACAAATATTGTGCAAAAAAAAATTGTTTCAAGTTAGTTTTTTTTCTTCGTAAAATTGTAGGCCTACAAACTATCAATTAACAGATGGACAGGCCTACAGCTATGAAATAAAATTACATAGCATATTTATGTTTAGCTGGGATAAATATAGCCTCTTTCCAAAAATCACTGCCATTTTATACCATAAAGTATTCTTATATTGGGGTTAGTTGTAACATGTTCCAATTAAAACCAATAATGTAAAGTTTCAACAAGCTCCATGAGCACATGTGGTGCCTGTAATGGTTCACAAAATAGAGCATTCAATACATAGTAGCCTTTGGACTAGAGCATAATATACTCAATAATCTATTCTCTAATCTATTCTATATATCTGTCTCTTATACACATCTTGGGACAAGTAACTTGATAGAAAATGTATTGTCCTCTGAAATGAAGAGAGAGAGAGAGAGAGAGAGCGCAAGCGAAGTTGTGTTGTTAGTGACTGGCATCACTACTAAGGAAAGGTGATTCTTACTTTTCAAGCAAAGATGTGAATCTTTGACTGATGTCTTGCTGGTGTTTCTGTCTCTTCCCAAACATGTACTTCTCTCCGTTGAATGATTCCCACATTACCAAATGTTTTTTTTGAGCATACATCACCTTCTGCTCTGCAATGACAATAAAAATAGGTATAGATATAGGACATAGAGGTTTGGATAGCACAGAGAGATTAAATATAATGAACCGGGTGCTCATATATGTTATGTGACCGCCCACCCAGGGTGATTTGGGGTCACACAACAGGGTTGAGTGTACCATTGTGGTTGTTGAAAGGTTATGGCTGAACCATGAGCTTGTGTGTAACTAGCCTGTAATGTTTATATGTGTGTCTCAAATCCGATACATGGTGGTGACGTGTTGTGGAAATTATGAGCAAATATTCTGAGCAAACAAAACCATGCAAAGTAATACATTATTTCAACATTTTGATTTGATAGCAATGTATCATGTCTGTTGCTGATGGGTCAAGCTCGAACCAGGCTGACACTGACGGCCAACAGATATCAAGTAAACCCGCATTAGCGTACAGATGCCTGCTCCACTGCTGTTAGATAAAGATAATAATGCAGAAAAACCCTTTACCATTACTTACCTATTTAGGCAGTTACACAGTAATTGTGACAATAACTATATGTGCAGTTGTCTTGCAATTTGTTAGGTTCCTTGAAAATAACGGCTTCAATGACCCATTTCAGTCAACGTACATAAAGTTATTCAGCACAGAGATATACTGTACTAAAGGTTTATGACATCGTGCATGCACTTCATTCTGGTAATGTTTTAGCAGTATTTTTTGATCTACCTGCCGCATTTGACAACATTGACCATACTACCATTCCTTTTAATCGTCTTACAGACATTGGTTGGTATATCCAGCTTTGTTCTCTCGTGGTTTCGATCAGACTTAACATCTCACCGACAATCAGTCCAAATTAAGTCTGTAATTTCTGGTCAAGCACTGTTAGAATGTGGTGTTCCACAAAGATCAACACTGTCATGTGCTTGTTACATACGTCCACTAGGTTATATTAGGGAGATTTAACAGTGTCAGATGAAAATTAACATCAATGTTATAATGTTCCACACTGACACAGAAGCTACAGTAAACACCATTTCTGTTTGATATGCAACAAACCTGACAAAACGTAAACAATGTGGGACGGGTCCAAACTAAAAACTAAGGTGTGACCAAGAAAATTGTACATAATCCAGCAAATGGCAAGTCTAATACCTTCAATTTGTTGTGACCTAAATAGGATCTCGTTATTCTGACACCGAGATATAAAAGGGCTTGACTGTATGCATATCAACGAACAAAACATAGAGCAAGTAGCACTCACTTAATTGGGGGATTTTAAAAAAGTGTTTGATAAGGAGTCCTTTTCACCCTCCTTGGTACAGTAGCTCTAACCATTAATCACTGTAAATACCTAGGGGTAATCATAGATCAACATTTAACATGGAATAAACAAATTAATAATGTAATAAACAAAGTTTTCCTAGATAAAGTAATTATATCTTGCCCCAAAACATACAATCAATGATGTACAAGTCAAAAATTGCAAATCATTATAATTATTGTAAATTGTGTTTGGGAAGATACAATCAAACTCTACAAAATAAAATTCAAATACTACAAAATAGGGATGCTAAAATTATTACAATGATCTTAAGATATGAGACTTTGTAATAATTTTACAATTATTACAAATGATTTTTTTTTCAGAAGCACTCACAAACTTAAACTGGAATAATCTAAATACCAAACTGCATGAAGATCAGGGGCGTAGGGTGGTTCCAAACTGGGTGGGTGGTGTGAAAATTGTAAATGCAGGATCAGTGGTGTAACAAAGAGGGCCGAAGGTCCCAAGCCACCCTAGTGGTGGTGGTGGTGGGGGGTTCGTGAAGCCTCCAGCTGCTCTGGTGTGATGTATTTTGGCACAATTGACTTCTTACCTTTGTATCGTAGTTTCATTTTTATTATATTATATAAAACAAATTATTAATTAAAGTTTAAAATGTTAAATCAAAAGAACAAAAAAAATGTTGGTACTCTTATTTAATTATTACTGCTGCATGTGTTATTGGTATTATTGAAAATATTACACAGAATTATGAAAGTACAAATCAAACATGAAAATCTAAATTTTTACTTCTTTCATTCTGTTTTGCTTTTGATTGGAAGTTTTTTTTTTTTTACTTATTGATTTTGTGATTTAAATTTTGTTAATATTTACTTCTAAACAGCCTTGTGAAAATCACAATTACATTGTGATCAATTTTTCAGTTTTCAAATAAAGTCATTATTATTATATTATTAATATTATGCTGAAGTTAAAACTGTACAATGCCTACTGTAGGGTTACCTGTAGCAGTAAAGACAAAATTAAAAGCTGCACCAGAAACATACTGTGGTTATGTACTCCTGATAAACTTCAAGCAGAGCTAAGTAACATTAGCAAGTTTATGTCTTGGAATGGGTACCCTTTAAAAGTTGTTAATAATGTACTTAAGAAATTAAATGAACCTAAATGTATACATAGGCCTACTGATGATAGCTTGATTAAGATTTGGGTTTATCTAGGAAAACCAGGTGAATTCATT